TGTCAATAGGAATATGTTTCCTATTTTTTCATTTCACACAAGGACAATACATTTTGCCGCTTTCAATTACAGTTTGCATAAGGTCGGCTTGGTACATGAATATTTCCAATCCGTTTTTGAAGTCTTCAGTCAACGACCCATCACCATTTTTGGGCGTATACATCCACTTTCGTAGATCGTATATAGACATTTCAAAAACAAATATTTGACTTTTTGTTTCTGAAATTTGATATAAATTTCAACTACTAAAAATTTTACTTAAACATTCAAAGACTCAAAAAATTTGTGTCTTTATATGTTTTTTTGGGTTGATGGAATAATGAGAGAAGAAAGGGTATATATAGAATTTTTTGTTTGGTTACCAACATATTACCATTGCATATTTACATCAAATTTACGTCGAAATAAAACTTACATCACATTTACATTGATTTTACGTCAATTACAAGATAGAGGACAATTAGTCGTATTATCGATGTAAATATTACGACAACATTACGACGAATTAAATTCGTTCTTCATTCGTCGTAATATCGTCGTAACATCACAACAATTTTACGAGGGTCATTTTTTACGTCGAATTTACGACGAAATTTTTGATCGTCGTAAATACGACGTAACGTCGTCGTAACTAATTCGACAGAAAAACCCCTCATTCTTGTAGTGTGGGATTTAAAGGGAGTAGCTTTACTTGGCGACGTGGGAAGCAGGAGAGAAACTTTATTGCCAAAAGGCTTGACAGAGTGTTATGTTGTCCTTATGCTAGATTGAAATGGCAAGAGGCCACTGTTTCACATCTACCAATGCTAGCCTCGGACCATACTCATTTGTATTTGCAATTATGCCCATTAAGAAAAGGAGACCCGAGGAGACGTCCTTTTCGATTTGAGGCGGCATGGTTAAATCATGAAGGGTTTAAGCAGCTCTTAACTCAGTCTTGGAACAGAGATTTAACTACTCCAGCTGCTTTATAAGGCCTCCGGACGCGATTAAAGAAATGGAATAAGGAAGTTTTTGGAGATGTGCACAAGAGAAAGGACAAGTTAATGAATGAGATACAGACAGTTCAAGATTTGTTGGATGTGACTCTAACTGATGAGCTGTAAAGTAAGGAAGACATGCTGTGTAAAGAATTGGATGTTGTTCTCGCACAAGAAGAACTGATCTGGTTTCAAAAATCCTGAGAGACGTGGATCGGAATAGGCTATCGAAACACTAAGTTTTTTCACGTCTCGACAATCATTCGACGGCGTAGGAATCGTGTGGAAAGTTTAAGGAATGAGACTGGGCAGTGGATCTCTGATACAGCAGAGTTAGAGGCGCTTGCAGTGACTTATTATCGGCAACTATATTCATTGACAGATGTTGACCAGGACGTTGAGGGGCTTCCTCAGATGGGTTTTCCAGCGTTGAATACAGCGGAGAGAAATAGTTTGGACCAACCTTTCTCCTCTAGAGAAGTAGAAGAATCTGTTCGGAGTATGGGGAGGTTTAAAGCTCCGGGACCAGACGGATACCAACCTGTTTTCTATCATCAGTGTTGGGATGTGATTGGAGAGTCGGTGTCGAGGTTTGTACTGGGATTCTTCGAATCGAATTCTCTGCCATCAGGGACAAACGATGCTTTGGTAGTTTTAATAGCTAAGGTTTTGAAAATAGAGACAATCATGCAGTTCCGACCAATAAGCTTATGTAATGTGTTATTCAAAATAATTACTAAAGCTATGGTTATGACACTGAAGCGTGTGATGCCCAAGCTAATTAGTCCGGCTCAAGGAAGCTTTATTTCTGGGAGATTAAGCACAGACAATATTGTGGTGGTACAAGAGGCAGTTCACTCAATGCGGAGGAAGAAAGGAAGAAAAGGGTGGATGATGCTGAAGTTGGATTTGGAGAAAGCTTATGACCGAATTCGATGGGACTTTTTAGAGGATTCCTTTATAGCGGCTAGGCTATCTTCACAGTGGCGATGATGGATAATGAAATGTGTAGAAAGTCCGGCGATGACACTTCTATGGAATGGAGAGAAGACAGAACCTTTTAAACCGGAGAGAGGACTTAGACAAGGTGACCCGCTGTCACCCTATTTATTTGTCCTATGTCTGGAGAGATTGTGTCATCTAATTGAGTTTTCAATCGCATCGAAAGAGTGGAAACCTATACGGCTTTCTCGAGGAGGCCCGCAGCTTTCTCATATCTGTTTTGCGGACGACCTGATCCTCTTTGCGGAAGCAAGTGTAGCTCAGATTCGGGTTGTGAGGAAAGTGTTAGAACGGTTTTGTATTGCTTCAGGACAGAAAGTCAGCCTCGAAAAGTCGAAGATCTTCTTTTCGGAGAATGTCAGCAGAGAACTTGCCAAATGAATAAGTGATGCGAGTGGAATTCAAACCACAAGAGACTTGGGTAAATATTTGGGGATGCCTATACTGCATAAACGAATAAATAGCGATACTTTTGGTGAGTCTTATCGAGAGTGTCTTCACGTCTCTCGGGTTGGCGAGGCCGTTTTCTTAGCTTTGCTGGTAGGATCACTCTAACACGGTCCGTGTTGTCATCTCTCCCCGTCCATACTATGACCACAATATCACTACCACAATCTGTTTTGGACAAGCTGGATAAGATGTCCAGATCGTTTATATGGGGAAGTTCAGAAGAGAAAAAGAAACAACATTTGGTGGCATGGGATAGAGTTTGTGCTCCGAAGTCAGATGGTGGGCTTGGCATACGATTAGCCAAACCTATGAATCAAGTCTTGTTAGCTAAAGTGGGGTGGAGACTCATTCATGATAAAGAAAGCCTTTGGACTAGGGTACTACGCAGCAAATACAAAGTTGGCAGCATTAGAGACCCAGCCTGGTTGGTAGCAAAGGGAACGTGGTCATCAACATGGCGTAGTGTAGCCATGGGTCTGCGGGAAGTGGTGATACCGGGTTTAGAATGGGTTATTAGTAATGACCGTGAAATACGGTTTTGGCAGGATAAATGGCTGGCATCGAAGCCACTTTGTGATTTACTTGTTGGTACCATCTCGGAGACCCAAAGAGAAGCTCGGATTAGGGATCTGTGGAAGGTAGATTCTGGGTGGGATTGGCAACATATTACGCCATATATCTCTGAAAGCACTAAGCTGAAAATGGCCTCATTGGTAGTCGACACAATCACAGGTGCGACAGATAGAGTTTCTTGGGGAGGCTGCTCCGATGGAAAATTTACAGTAAGATCAGCTTATACTTTCCTCACACGAGATGAGAAATCGAAACAAAGCATGGGGTGTTTCTTTGAGCGTATCTGGAAGGTGACGGCACCGGAAAGAGTTCGTGTGTTCCTCTGGTTAACAGGGCAACAAGTGCTTATGACCAAAATGGAGCGGTTTCGTAGACATCTCAGTAGTTCGAGCATATGTTCAGTTTGTAAGATGGGAGATGAGACGATAATTCACATTCTCTGGGATTTCCCAGCTATGGCGGGAATTTGGAATCGGCTTGTTCCGCCGAGACGATTGCAATCTTTCTTTGGGATGACGTTACTGGAGTGGTTATTTAATAATTTGGGCGACACAACCGTAGTGCGAGGATGTCCATGGGCTACATTATTCTCTATGGCAGTGTGGTGAGGGTGGAAATGGAGGTGCGGGAATGTGTTTGGGACAACTGGTAAATGCCGCGATCGTGTGAAATTTGTTACTGACATCGCCAAGGAGGTATCGAATGCACATTCACTCGTGAAAGGGTCTGCTAATCAGTCTATGAGGGCAGAGAAGATGGTTTCATGGTCTCGGCCGAATGATGAGTGGTTTAAATTAAACACTGATGGAGCTTCAAGAGGTAATCCGGGGCTAGCTGCTGCAGGTGGAGTGGTGAGGGATACAGATGGGAATTGGTGTTGTGGTTTTGCTTTGAATATCGGAATTTGTTCCGCGCCTCTAGCGGAGTTGTGGAGCGTCTACTATGGTCTATATATAGCTTGGGAGCGAGGAATCACACGTCTTGAGCTAGAGGTTGATTCCGAAATAGTGGTTGGTTTTCTTAAGACAGGGATTGAGGATTCGCATCCGCTGTCCTTCCTAGTACGACTTTGCTATGACTTTCTATCGAAGGATTGGATAGTCCAAATTTCACATGTGTATAGGGAAGTTAATCGTCTTGCGGACGGATTAGCGAGCTATGCGTTTTCATTGGCAGTAGGTTTCCATATGTTTCACTCCTGTCCGGAGGAGAGTCGTTTGATTTTGTTAGAGGATGCTAGTGGGACTGCACGTCCTAGGCAAATCCGGTTGTAGTTTTTTTTATTTTTGATGAATAAATGGGGGTTTACCCCTTTTTCCGACCCAAAAAAAAAAAACTTTATAAACTAATAATATTGAGATTTTGGTATTTATTAATTTATAAAGTTATTAATTTATAGATTTTCAATATTTTTTATTATTTTATTAAGTTTTTAAAAATATTTTTTAAAAAATTACTCTTTAAAACATTATGTCTAAATTAAAGATGAGTTACAAGAAATTAAAATTTTAAAATAAAAATATTTTTACTAAACTCATATTTTAATAGATTATTTCATTTATATATTTATATAAAATTATATTTATGGTAATTATTAATTTATAATATTAATGGAACCATATATTTACATAAGAGTTTTGTTGAATTTATTATCTTATTATCTTATCGATTTGTATTAAATTTTGAAGATACTAACTTAGAACTGGAAAATTTTATTAATTTATAATATTTATTAATTTATCGAGTATTAATTTATATAATTTCTTAACTCAAAAATAAAAATTCAGTTAACATATTTACTCGGTAAGATTTTAACCAAAAACAAATATTTACTCGGTAAGATCTTGATACCACCAGCTATGGTTTATAATATTAATGATTGGGCTAATAGGCCGATCAATAAATGAAATAGCTAAGCCCATTCAAATTTCTCGTCAATTTTCCGAGGTTTAGTGTGGAGGGAACTTTTGGCGCCATTGGAACTCACTAAGGGAATGTCTATACATTAATGGCGGAACTACAACGCCTCTCCATCACAACAAGTCGACCTCCATTAAAATTAGGGTTTCTCTTCAACTCAGTGAACTCGCGGCAGTTATCAATACCTAGTCTTCGAATTCCAACAATGGCCTGCGTCGAGAAGAAGAGCAACAGCCCCGAAGCCAAGGAACCGTTGCCGAAAATCCAAAAGCTCGATCGAAACGGAGTTCAAGGCGATTCCGAAGCGTTCTTCTTCAAAGTGAAGAAACTCTCCGAGAAAGCTGTTTTACCTACGAGAGGCTCCTCTCTCTCTGCAGGATACGATCTCTCAAGTGCGGTCGATTCGAAAGTTCCGGCGAGAGGCAAGGCGCTTATCCCGACGGATCTAAGCGTCGCCGTCCCCGAAGGAACCTACGCGAGAATCGCTCCGAGATCTGGTCTCGCCTGGAAACACTCGATCGATGTCGGAGCTGGAGTGATCGACGCCGATTACAGAGGACCTGTTGGTGTGATTTTGTTCAATTACTCCGATGTTGATTTCGAGGTGAAGATTGGAGATCGAATTGCGCAGCTGATAATCGAGAGGATCGTGACGCCTGAAGTTATGGAGGTTGATGATTTGGACTCTACTGTTCGTGGTGAAGGAGGTTTCGGGTCTACTGGTGTTTGAGTTTCTCTTCTCGTCTTCTAGCTTTTGAGTATCTCAGTGAATTTAGGGTCATTTGCTGTAATAGTTCTTGCTTTCATCTTCAGACTTTTAATCTATTGATCTTTTCTTCATTACAAGTTCACAAAAAGGCTTCAAAATTAAAAGTGATAATCCATAAAACAATCTCTCACTGTTCAAGAAAAATAAAAGAGATGGCTTCACAAAAAACCCAAGCCAAACAAGAAAAGAAGCTATCTTTAATGGTTGTCCTAAACAAAATCAAACGCAAACAGAGACAGTGGATTAACAAAAACATAGCCACTGACTTATATTTACAAAACGAGACTCATAGAGTCTCTCTCTCAGGCGAATTTAGGTTTAGGTAAGGCTGAGCCTACGGTGGGGTGGTGGCTGCTGCTGCTGCCGCCGCCGACGTGGTGGTGGACTGACCCGAATATCTGAATCCAGTATTTATGACCTTTCTTTAGCTCTGGACAGATCTGGTTCGGCATAAGAGTGAGTCTCCCTTCGTTTTTCTTCAGAGACATGTCAAACTGTTCCAAAACTTTCACAATCTGCCAGAACTCTGGTCTCTTGTCTGTTTGCAACGACCAACATTGCTCAATCAGCTCTCTCATTGCCGCTGGACAATCGTTTGGTATAACCGGCCTAGTGTTCTGGCCAAATATCAAACACAAAGTTCGTGTAAACCAACGGAAAAGGTCACAATCATGAAACAAGCTAGGAGATGCAGAATTGTATTTACCTTGTGCATGACTGCGAAAGCAGCTTGGACAGGAGTCATCTCCTCATATGGGACCGCTCCAGCTACCATTTCCCATAAAACAAGACCGAAACTATAAACATCGGACTTTCGTCCGTGTGGTCTCTTTCTTAGCACTTCAGGTGCCATCCACCTATAAGTTCCTGTCTCAGCACCCAATATATCACAGTACTCCTCCTCTCGCGCTATGCCAAAGTCAGCAATCTTCAAGTTGAAGTCTTTGTCAATCAACACGTTTTCTGGCTTAAGATCCCGATGAACAATCTTTCTTGAGTGAATGTATTCCATTCCTCTCGCGATATCTAGACCAAACTTAATCAGCTGTTGCAAAGGAAGGCGTTTCTGCTCGAGCTTGTGCAGGTATGATCTTAAAGACCCTTTAGGTAAATACTCCGTGATGATACAGTTTCCAGTGTTCACTCCCACAAACTGTTTAGGACATCATCAATCAGAGAAGAAAAGTCAAAACAAACTAAAAGACATCATTCATAACCTAACCTACATAATATAACGTAATTTCAATCACCTTGAGAACATTTGGATGGCTTAGTCGAGATAAAAGAGTGGCTTCCTTGGTAAACTGTCTCTCCAAACGAGCTCCCAAGAGTTTGTCTTCGCTATTAACAGGTGCTTGCGTAATCTTGAGAGCAACAGCTTCTCCTTTGTACTCTCCATGGTAAAGTTGGCTATATATCCCATGCGCAAACTGGTTCCCATAGATCAACTTAGACGTATCAATGAGGTGTTCTTCAAGCACTCCCATAGCACTTACTCTAGAAGCTCCACAGTCAAAAGACTTTGAAGACCTCGTCTCAATCTTACTCTTCACCTTCTCTTGAATTTTCAGGGTACTAAGATCCCTAATAGGATCCGAGTGCGATAGAGACCGTAGATTGAACGATATTTTCTCAAAGGAATCTCTACGAGGCAACTTCGCCTTCATTCCCTTCTCTGGTTCCAATCCTCTAGGATGCGGAGTAGAAAACCTCTTGATATCAGACTTTGCTTCTTTAAAAGACTCAGAGAGAGACATCTGAGGAGACGGAGAAGCAGACCTCTTTTTGTTCGTGACAGGGTTTCTCTGTGTTTCAGAACCTGTCGCTTGCTGCTTAGCCTGTGAAGTTCCTACAAGTGACTTCAGATCCGATGGTGAGCTCAGAGGCATCCTTTTCAATCCAAAAGTCTTCTCTTTGTTTACTGTAAAAGGCAGAGATTCTAAGTTTGGCGTAATCATACGATAACAAACAGTGTGAGAATAATTCGCCCTCCTGATCCAAGAAGTAGCTTCTCCATCCATGTTTAATCCCCCAAAACAAGTTACTTATCAAGAAGGAAAAAAAATCAAAACTCTTTAGTTTTCTAGACACGTATTGTATAATCAAGCGAACCCGTGAAGACGAATAAGATGAGTAGCAATCTCCAACAATCTCATCTTCTTCACAGAAACCAGAGTTCCTTCACAATCCATTGATACACCAAGTTATCCTCCTCAACCATTAATCGAACACTCTATGAATCCAAAAGTAAAATCTCCCTACGAAGAAAATATCTAACTCCAAATTCCTCCGCCTACAGAGTTGAACACATGATCACCCAAATCGCCGGAAACAAAAAATAATCTGGATTACACCACCCACTATATGCCTCGGCCTAATAACAAAATCAACGGAATCACGTATCAAGAGCAACAAAAATTAAGAAACGACTTATTTGATCGACGAATCCAAACAAAAAGGGAAATCCAGAAAGTACCTGAAAATGGAAAACTATGGAAGGTGTCAAGGTGAAGCTGGGAGAAACAGGAATCAGGTGAGAGTTCAGAAATCCGGCGATCGGATTTGTGTGCAGAGAGAAAATCGACGGAGAAATTGGAAGCTACGACGATTCTGAAAATTTTCACGACTTTTTCTCTAGGAAACGAAACCCCAAGGTCTTTACGGCTTTTACATTGAAGTTTTTATACTAATAAAACTTTCTAAAACGGAAGACAATTTCTTCAGAATTTTGGTCAAAGGAGAAATCACGGACGAGCGTAAAAGAATGCAAACGATGTCGTAATGGAAGCTATCAACATCACCGATATGCTTTGAACATTCTATTGAGAAGTATATTTTTGGTATAAAATATTCATGGCTTAATAAAACAAGCAGCGTCTGTAGTCCAACGGTTAGGATAATTGCCTTCCAAGCAATAGACCCGGGTTCGACTCCCGGCAGACGCAAAATTTTTATTTTTTTGGCCTCAGTTTTTTAACCCAAATGAAGAAAAATTATTATTATTTGTTTTTAATCCTAAGTCTATTCAAACAAATAAAAGATGTAATATGATACTTTGTTGAGGAAGAAGTAGGATTAAAAAAGTCAATGGATCACTCGCAAAAAAATATGAACAACGACGGAAAGTAACAACAAAAATCCTAATTTGAAATTCAGTACTAATTCAGAAAAGACTCCATGAAATTTCCATCAATGGATTCCCCCATAGGTATCAAACTTGATATGACTGTAAGGTATCAATGGTACATCTCGTGAAATGTGTGATTAATTTTTGTTTTTAGCAAAGATAGAAGATTTCAATTACCATATTCTTTTGGCAAGTGGGGCGCTGGCAAAACATCTGCAATACATCAGAGATATATTAGCCAAGTCATATGATGGGTTACTTAATGCCAAACACCAAAACAAAAGTGAACATGGTTTATGTAAATAAAGTTTTTTCACTAATTCCAACCGCCGTAAGCAGTCTCAAGAAAACTATCCTCATGAGTGTCATAGCACATGGCGAGCTTCCACTCTCCTGATTTAGAAAATATCTTCAACATTTGTAGAGTTGGGATATTCATGAAAATATCTTCAACACTTGTAGAGTTGGGATATTCATATTCAGATGTGGTTCATGCAGCTGAAGCATTCTCACAAGTTGCATTTGGGTATAAAATCCAAAGAAAAATAAAGAGTGTGTGATAAAAATTTATCGTGTTTTAGGAACTGAGGAAAACAAAACGCAAAACCCAAAGATATATGTGACTTAAAACAATAACTAATTAAGCGACTAAATTGTTTGCATTTATACATTACAAAAACCAAAATAAAAATCTAATCTCTTTTGCACACCTGTGAATTAGCATAATGCGAGCTGACAAAGAACATCATCGTGGAGATAAGTTAAAGAGGAGGCGATCAAAGGTATCCAATGCTTGAAAACCTTTAGGATACAGATGTAATCTCATAAAACCCGCAAAGAAATTTACCATCATTCCCCTAAAATACCATAACATACATTAATAGCACCCAGCGCAGAACTACTTGGGATAGAAGGGGTGAGCTGACTGACGCCTATGATTTTCAAAAAATATATTTGACCAATTGACCCCATCAGAAAAATAAATAATGTAGTAACAAAAGCCGAATTTATTTGTTTAGTTGGATTCATGTTTAGCTTTAACTCAATTTAAATGCAATTATGGAATGATGGAACACAACCTCAATGAAAATGGGTGGCATATGCAACGATCCCTTCGAGTGTACTAAGAGTGACTCCCATATTATCTGGATCCATTAAGGCTAGACTCGGAAATGTCTGGATAAAATCCCCATCGACAAATTCCGCACTAGCACTGAAACCTGCTAACTCAAGATGTTGAAGAGGAAACCGCTCACACTGAATCCACATCTCCAGCCTTTTCAATAATCTGTAATGCTTCAGGAGGAGGTGACGCAATCACTCCAATTGCGCCACTAACAATAGAAAACATACAAGAGGGAGATTATGCATATTCTTCATCAGATATCATTTCTAGAGTCCCAGCTTTTATCTGTGTAATGAATTCTCCAGAGTGCCATCTTCCTACATATTCTGGGATGCCACCTTGACCCAAGCCTTCACTTGACAGTATGTTATAGAGCCAATCGCTGTAGAGAACAGAGTCACCATGTAGCAAATGCATGGCTGTTTCTTGGCTCGATCTCAATGTCACTATCATCATGCGGCTCAAATTAAACAAGGAAACAAACAAACAAAAATTGAAATCATAAGCAGAAACATGATCTCTTAAAATTTGCTTGTTACAATGGTTGCTTACCTGTAGGTAACTTGAGGAAATCATAGCAAATCTCTCTTTTATACCAGTAAAAAACTCCATTCCAGAGAAAGATTTGGATTCTCATGGAGCTGGCTAGCACCGCCAACTAGTCGCCACTCAAAATAATGAATAGCATTACCTACAAAGCCAAGAAGTCCCCCATGCAAAACTTTGAGGTATTTGACTGCTCTGTCTGTTTGAGTCTGAAAGATCAGATAAAGCTGCCTATTTAGGGATCTGAAAACCAAAATCCTCCCATGTATACAAACAAAAATGAAAACACAAAAATGAATGAAAGAATCTGACCTATCAAAAATACAGTATTAAGATCTAAAAAATGTTAAACAAGAAATTTATCCTAAAATCTAACAATCAAGATCAGAAAAAGTAAGAAGAAATTTACCTAGACTACATTGACCTGTCCTGGAAGATCTCTTGATGTTCCGACACAGTAGTATACGTTGTGATCAGCGTCAGCAAAGGAGCAACTAACTACTGACTGTCCAAGCTCTCCTTCATCCAATCTAAAAGATGATAGTGTGTACAGCTCTTTGTCAAGGAGTTGCACAAAATGTCTTCTTAAGCCTTCTGCAGGTCGCATCTTTTCCTCCACAAGAACAACAGTTGATTCACTTTTTTACTGATGGCAAATTCGTCTACCAAAGTTCATCATGGGAATTTTTGAATGCCCTTCAAATCTCCCAATGTGCAAATCACAATACCATCTTCCTTAGCAATTACTCGACTGCCCAGTTTAAAGAAAGCACAATTAGCTATCTAACTATCTAGAATTGAAAAAAAAGGTATAAGAAATTATTTTACCCCTCTTTCATATCAGGATGCTGGAAAGAACATATGTACTTAATATTAGTTAAATTCAGCTTGTTGTATTGCAGTTCTTTCTTCTTGCTGAAAATCAGCTTTGGTGCAACTTCTGTTGAGAAAAAACATGCCAACCACACCATTTGATCTGAATCTATGCAGTGTTCTACCTACACCACCCAATATCATGGTGTTCTTTTCTTGAAGTTGGCTGTTATCTTTGTTAACCTTGAAGGCCGAAAGAATTTTATCTACAAGAGCACATAGCAAGTACAATACCTGAACCATAGAGAAAAATATCAAGAAGTTCGTATCCATCGAAGAAAAAAGACACATTTAGGGGCACATGACAAATGATTCAGCAAGGTCACACCCATTCAAAGTCACATAGAAGAACACATTGTGATGTATGTGATCCAAATTGCTCCACTGTGAGAATCTCTAAATCCGAAAGCGATTGAATCAAAACAGAATGTTGTTGCCATACCCAACAGCAACCGCTTACTTTGAGAACAGTTGGTACCAATAGGATTTATATGAAAAAACTACAATTCACAAAAAAGTAATACCATTATCGTCCTAATTTTGTACAAAACCAGTAATAACATACATCATCCACAATAAATAAAAATGATAGTAATCAACAAAAAATATCATTATAAGCATATACATTTTTTCCTTTCTTTTTTTTTTTCCAAATTCACTAACCAAACTTTCAAAACTAAAACTTTTGAAACCAAAACTTTTAACCAGAATTTTTTCGGTCAACTGGATAGTCAAATCACTCAATCTCTCTTGTTACATACTCGAATGAAGATAAAACTTTATCAATTTCGACCAAAACTCATTTGATTGTTTCCAAATTTACAAAACTGCAATACATATCTAAAAGTTCAAATCATACTTTCTTAAACTTAATAAATTGGCCAATTATTTGAGATGTGTTGATAATTTACTCTAAATCACAAAGAAAACCAAATCTAATATTAGAAGAAATAAATTTATAACTAATATTAATATTTAACAAAATTAGCAAATGACAATTGATAATGTAGATGTTGTGGCAAAAAATGCAAAGTTTTTAAAACTTCAGATGAAGAAAAAGAGAGTTGAAAATAGTAAATTTAATGAATTTAAAGTGTAATTTATCTAATTGATTAGGTATCTATATGATACAATGGTGTCCTAATTTTTTTTAATATTTAATTCATTTAATAGTTTATTAATACTGTAAAAATTAAAAATTAGTAATTAATCAAATAAATATTCATAATTTTATTAGAAAATGGGCCCGTAAGCCAATGTTTATTTTTTATACTCATAGGCACAACCTGGTCATACCCCTCCAGAATTTTCTCTTCAACCAACTTCCAATTCTAGATTGTAAGATAAAGTAGTCTCCCGTCCGTAAGCAGAACCTAAGTAAAGCAATGGCATATGAACAATTTTAGCTACTCAGGTTAGGGAAAAAGATAACGATTATTTTTCCAAAATAAGTGGTGGTAAATTAATGTACCTGCGTGTTAGTTGCAGATGTCAACAGTATCTTAGAGTCAGGTGACCACTCACCCTACAATAGTCTGTCATTAGTACCAATCAGTTGAACGTATTCTTCAGTAACCTGATTTGAAGAGCCAACAATCCATAAATCAAAAAGGAAGAAAGTAGAGCTTACAAAATACTACACTTGCATTAGGATAGCCAATAGACATGAAAACAAAATACACTGACAAACAAGTTTTGGGAATCAATACGTACTTCTTTCCGGGAAGAAGATCTCGAAAACAAGCGAAAGAGCAGTTTTCTTGTTAATCCAGCCACTCAAACTAGTTGAGCTTCTCGTGGATTGTGGATTCACCATAACTGATTCCGAACCATGAGGAATTGTGAAGGCTATGATCTTCAGCGTCAGTGATGGGTGGTGGATTCACCATAGCCGAAGCGAATCAAGAAGGATCTTCTCAAAACAAAAGACAAACGAAATCCAGCAGAAAGAGTAATTATTATATCACCCAAGAGTA